CCAGCTTCTGAGAACCCTTTCAAGGACAAGAAGACCTGCATTTTGTTATAGGAGAGTGCCAGCAGCTCTGCTCCCTCCTGGGCAAAGCCAGCCACTGGCAGGCCTATAGGCAAATACTCTGTAAGGTACCGGCTGCTCACTGTGTAAGAGTAGCTGTTCTTTTCCCATGTGTATAAATGATTTCTTAAGCTTTCTAAAGCATTCTGTTGCCTCTCTTTATTAGGAAGTGAGGTTTTAAACTGAATTAACTTCTTTCTTGGCCAGGGGAATGGGGTTTTGGATGCAGTGGGATGGGCAGGGTGAGGCAGGGCTCTCATCCTCTGCAGGAATGGGGTTCACCTCTCCAGTTACACAAACAAAACCAAAGTTGCCTGAGCTTTGCTACCAGAGCAGAGGCAAAGGTGTAGAAACCTGATTGAACATGATTGGGTCTGCACCTTTTTAAGATGATGTCTGTGCTGCCTGTGTTGGTAGCGTGTGTTCAAGCACAGACACATTTAGAAGTGCATTATCTAGCAAAAACTACCTTAAAAATGATTGTAGCAATGAGTGGTGAGCTCCAGGGAGCCATGCCTGCAGCCTTCCTTAATGCTGGCTTCTCTTGACAGGGGTTTCTAAGTGTAAAACCTCAAGAATGGGAGATCTGCAGGTTTATTTGCCTGCTTTTTAAGTTGAAAACGCAGGATTTTCAGCTTTGATCCTGGTTCTCTACATATTCTTCTGCAGTATAAAAACCCTGTCAAGAGAACCAGAGGCTGCGAGGCTGTGCTGCTGAGCTGAAGGCATGGTTCTGGCACACCACATCCCAGTTCCATTCTGTGCAGGGAGTCAGAACTTGACTCTTCTTTTTTTAAACTCATTTTTTAAAGGGGGGGGGGGGGGGAATGCCAAATTCTATCCAGATTGTGGTTCTGCAGCTAGAATGGGAGGGTCTTTCCATCGAGTAAGTGATTTTATATATACACATAATAAAACATTCTTTCTCTGTCTGCGTGTGTATATATATATATATAAACTTTCATAGTATATTTATACGAACCTTGCATCTTAACTGCAAACTTGGAAGGGATTGAAGTTAATGCTGCCTTCAGCTGGCTACAAATGTCTTTCTCAGTAGCTGGTGGTTCAGAGGTTGGACGTGTGATCATGCCATAACTGCATTTCTGTAATTACATTTGCAGAACTTATTAACCACTTGTAATTTACTGTCTTACATTGCGTATTTGTCCTTTCTATATTAAATTATATACACACTATTGAGAGAGATTGAGAAAGTCTCTGTTTGTTTAACAGGCCACTCGAACAAAGAGTTCAAAGATCAACTTACAAGGCTGACAGGAGCTTAGTTCTGATGACTCTGTGCTTCCATGCAGCTTATAAGTAGAGTATTCTTCCAGTGACAGTTCTAAAACAACAGTGTAGATTCACAGTGTTTTGGGGTGGTTTTACTGTTTGTTTCATTTTATAACACTTCTTGTTATAAATAGTGATTAACTCAGTGTGGGTGTGCAAAGCTGTCGAGGGATCTCCAGCTGTGCTCAGGAGTGTGCAGGCAGGTACATGGGGAGGGTGAAGAACCTCATGCTGTTGCCTCGGTATTGTCCTCTCACCATCTGTTGTCCCTGTAGTAATCTACCTTTTTGTTCTGTTAAGCTCCCTGCCCCCAAAGCTCACCTGTGGAGCTGCAGAGATGCTGCTGTGTCTGCCCTTAAAGCCTACAGCAGGGACTGGTGTGTGATCCAGCTGTGGCACTGGTTGATCCAGCTGTGGAGCACTGGTTGCAAATGCAGCTGTGGGGTCCAGGCAGCACTCTGAACTGGAGCATAGCCACCTCCTGTCACCCCGTCACACCATGTCCACAGTGCTGGTAACTCTGCACTCCCTAATAAAGAGCTGCTGGCACGTTCCTCGGGCTCGCTCCCTTTCTCCTCCCCTATAAACTCACTATGTTTGCCAAGCCAACGCTGAGTGTTCCCTGGCTGGGGCTGTGGCTCCGTCCCAGCCCCACAGCTGAGTTTAAGTGTGTTTTTCAACCTTTTTCCATGTCATTTTGACATCCTTGCAGCATGATTTGTGCCAGCAGCTATTTCACGCTTGCTTACACACCCAGAGAACAAAAGGAGTGATTGTAAATGGCCGTGATCGCATGGGTGATCAGAGGAGCAGGATAAAACCACTGCGCCAGGTTCTCTTTTTCAGGTGCTTTCTCAGTTTTAGGCAGAAGACTTGGAATCAGCAGCTCATCACCACCAACTGCCTGCTCCTGATGGTGTTTAACGTACAGACAGTCACTAAATTCCTTATTTTTTAAATGCAATGTATAGGGGCTCGGGTGGCTACATTTGCACTTTGGTTTTTTTGCTATAAATACTCCTATGAAAGAACAGGAATGGTAAAATTCAGAGGAAATACAGACTCTGCCGTAGTAGAATGAAAAGGAGAAGTGAGACCATCTGCACCCGCAGCTGCTGGGAGAAACCCATGGAGGTTGCATGCTCTTTATCTCTCTTTTATATCAAGCTCCAGAAGGGGTATTTATTCTATTTTTCCCCCCATAAATTAAGCAGCCAGCTTGTTATTTGTGATTATTTGCTCTTTATGTTCTAATTTGACTCTTTCATGCTGTGTTCCATTAACAGAAGAAGAGCTGATTGGTGGCTTGGAGACCTGACTCTTGCTAAAAGAACCCCTTGCTAAAATATTTCTGCTTTTCCTATGCTTCAAGATTATCATCTTCATTTTGTGGTTCTGGAGGTGGTGAGCTGCAAAGGTTGGACTCTGCTGCTGCACTGGTGCATTGCTGGGTGTTCCTCCATGGGAAGGGTGGTGGTGGGCTTGGGATGGGGATAGGGCCTGGTGGACGTGCAACTAGTACCTCCTGCTCCTAATCTGCTGGGGGTCCCTGAAAGAGCCTGGTTGGCCCCGTGGTGACAGCAGGAGGGCAGCCCTGAGGTGGGATGATGGTCAGAGTGTGCGCATCAAGAACCTCAAGTGTGCTTGGAGGTTGTGTTTAAATCTTGGGTGAGAGCTGTTCATGGGGCTGGAAGGTGGAAAAGGGAGATCTCAAAAGATCTGCTCACAGTTTTCTGGGCATTGGGATGGGTTTGTTTGGATGAGGGCTGCAGCAGGAGTGAGAGCTGCAGGACACCAGCCCTGGAGCAGCCACAGGAGCTGGGTGCTCAAGGCCAGGTTGGACACAGGGGCTTGGAGCAAGCTGCTCTAGTGGAAGGGGTCCCTGCCTGTGACAGGGGTTGGAACTGGGTGAGCTTTAAGGACCCTTCCAACCCAAACCAGTCTGGGATTCTGTGATGCTGAGGGTGAGCGCTACCTCTTTGCAGCCCCAGCACAGGGCAGAGCTGGCTGTGGGGTACCTCAGGGTGCTCTCTGAAGCTGAAAATGTTTACAAAACACCTTTTGGCGCAGCTCCTGGGCCAGAACCTGACCTGATCTCTGTGTTTTAAACACTCGGATCTTTCCCTGGGTGCAGGTCCCGGTGGGCAGCGAGGGCGACTCCTTCACAGGGTGTCCATATGCTGATGGTGATGCTGCTCCTGCACCATCCCATGGCCCCGGGGGCTGAGCACGGTGCCTGCCCGGTCCCTAGCTACGTGCCGGACCCGGCGCGAGGCTGACGCGGCCCTGCAGCCCCGCGCCGGACGGGGCCCGGAGCGGGCGGCCTCAAGCCGGAGCACGCCATGGGAGCGGGAGAACTGGTCCAGCACCTGCCGGGGGCAGCGGCGCTGGGGCCGGCGTGCCCAGGGCTGCGGGCAGGGAGCCGCGGGGCAGCGCGCACATGCAATTAGGGGAGCCCTGATGTAGGTCAGCGCAGCGGCGTCCCTGGGGCTGCACAGGCACAAGGAGGCTGTTTTCCAGCTCTGTTTGTTAAAGACTTGGAGAGAGATTCCCGCCCCATGGAGTGCAGGTTTGGCGTGCCAAGAGTATGTGTGCAGTTAAACCCGGAGCTTGGCACAGAAACCTCCTAACCCGGGAGGGGTCTGGTCCCTGCTGGGGGGGGGTACAGGGAATACATCCAGGAGGGTTTGCAGCAGGCTGTGGACGCCTTCCTGGGAAGGGAAACACTGGGTCGAGTTTTCCTTGTCCGAGGAATCAGATTTTCCCCACTTTCCAGGAAGGGTCAGGCTCTGCGGAGCCTCCAAAATAACTCCTCCTCTTGTTGTTCTTGTTCAGACTCTGCTGTGAAGTGGCAGCATTGGACAAAAAGAAACACAATTCCCAACATTTCCTGTTGCACATCAGCTGCTTTTTCCTTTAATGGCTTGGGAGGAGCTAGGAATAAACCCACACAGGAGCAGCACAGCAGGACCTTGCCCAGGGCCAGGACAAGGAAGAAGCTGCTAAATGAACCCTTTTGACTCTACACTAATGAACAGGGGGAAGAAAGCAAACCCCAGGACGCAGGGTTGGAGTTTAAACTTTTATTTCCAAAAGAAGCCAAAGCCAAAAACCCCAAACCCCCCTAAATCCTATCAAATTTCAAACAATTACATTAATGTAGCTGCTTCCAACAGCCAACTGTTGAAGAGTGGGTGCAGATGAACTGCTTAAGGGCATCCTGGTTCTCAAACCTCCCGGTATAAATAATTTTTTCCATCAATAATAGCACAAAATAACTTATTATATATCTTAGCATAAAAACTTGAGAATTAACACCCCAAACAATACATTAAAAGGGGTTGTAAAATGCTGTGATTAATCTTACAGGGTTTCTTTTGCTCTTTCAGGTATTTAATCCAGAAGCTGTAAGTTGCACTTAAAATAGGTGGAGGCTGTCGGGCGTTTTCCATGAGGAATCTGGCCGTGCAGCACCCCCGGGGCTCACTCCTCCAGCCATGCAGGCGCTTCTTGTCCCTTCGCTTCCACGCTCCTCTGTGTCGCTCGGCAGTCCCACACAAGGCGCAGCTCAACTCCAACCTCCCCCCCCCCCCCCCCCCTTCTCCCCCGCGATATCAGTTTTATCTGGGTATTTTTTTGTTGTTGTTTTCCACTTTTTTCCCCTGCCCTCCCTCCCGAGTGATCCTCGTGCCAGGGCAGGGAGTAACTTCCTGAGCAACTGCTTGTAAAGTGATTGCGAAACTCGAGTGCAGTCGGGTTCAGCCGAGCGCTACGGTCACCGCTCGGGGAGGTTAATCACAGGCACCCACTGATCCATGTACCGGCTCTCCCGGCAGAAGCACATCAGCTGACTCAGCGCTGGATCCTTCCACTGTGAGGCGTGGGGGTTCTGGAAAGAGAAAGGGGGGGGGGGGGCTTTAATACAGGAGCAAAACCAACCCCTATAGAGAGGGATTCAAAAGCAGAGCAGGAAACCCAGGAGCATGAATCATCTTAAACTGGCACTAAAGCAAACCAACCAGTCGACTCCAGAATGATGAGTGGAGTTCTGCTGCTTTGGACCACAGGGCAAAGGAGGAAAAGGGGTGGAAAAGGGGAAAATAGAATCACAGAATGATAGAAGTTAGAAAATAGACTCATAGAATGATTAGAATATAAAGGGAAATCGTGGAATCTTAAAACGGATTGGCTCGGGAGGGACCTTAAAGCTCATCCAGCCCATGGGCAGGGACACCTTCCACTAGAGCAGCTTGCTCAAGGAGTTTCCTATGGATCCTATAGGATGTTCTCTGTGCCAGACAGAGGTCTGGGAGTCGAGCTGGCAGCTCTGTGCCCACAGGCACGGTCAGTTCCGGCTTTATGGAATGACATTTTGGAATTGCCTTCAATTCCAGGCTTTGCAGGGCACCTCCATCAACACCCACTGGAAAGACGGGTTATGCCTCATGGCCAAGCCATGGGACGTGACCATGACACACCGGCTGCCCCCAGCAACCAGGATCCATCCGGACTCACCGTGACGAGGACGCAATGAAGGTCGGCGGGTGGCCCGGGGCCAGCGGCGGGCAGCAGGAGCTGAGCCAACCGTGCCGGGTTGTTGACACGGAGGATGTTGATGTCGTTCTCGCAGCAGAAAGCCTGGATCAACGTGAAGTGGATCTGCAGCGCCGCATCTCCCTCCTCTTCCTCATCGGCCGCAAGTAAGCACAGCACCACGTTATCCGGATCCCTGCGGGGATGCACAATGTCACCGGGAAGGGTGGCGGGACACCGGGGTAAGGGGTTGAGCCACCGGGGTTTCACTCACACGTTAAGCAACTTGGCTGCCTCATAGACACCAAGGGTGAGGCTCCGCTGGCTCAGCGCCTTGCTCAGCACCTCCTCCAGCGCGTCCCCCGCCTGCTCCATCCTGCCACCGGGACAAGCACAGACAGGCAGCCACCGGTTACCGGGAGGGGTTGACGCCACTCCGCACCCGCTTCCCTTCCCGCATACCCTGCCCATACCTTACCTCCCGGCGGTGCGGTGGTCCCCGGGCAGCTCCTCCAGGGTCATAGTTCCTCTGCGGGCCGTTCCCGGTGCTGGGACCGCTCCCCGTAGCACCCCGTGCGCCGCCGCCTCTGCAGCACAAAGGCGCCCCGCAGGCGTTATCCGACCCGCGTCCAGCCAATCCGCGCCGGCTATATTTGCATATCGCCCTTCTATTGGTTTATGCAAATGAGACCCCTCCTCCTTCTCGCTGACACCGTGCCTTAGAGCCGCCGGCCACGGGAACCGGCGGGGCGGTGGCTGCTGATTGGCTGCTGGAGGGGTGGGGGCGTGGCCTGTGGAGGCGATGGTGCGGGAGCGGGGAGCAGGGGCCGGGAAACGGGAGCGTTCCTTCCCCTGAACCCTAAGAACGGAGAACGCTGGGGCCGGCTCCCGTCCCGGCAGCGCGCGGCCCTGGGGCGGCCATTTCAAGCCCCTCAGCTTTGCTCCTCCGGGCGCCCACACCGAGCCCGAGGCTCCCGTGCGGGTCGAGGTCTGCCAAGGGGCTCTGCTGCCTGCGCCCGGCTCCCCCGGGATGTCCCCGGGATAACGGTCCTGGATAGCTCACCCCCTCCACGAGCATCCATCCCGCGTGGGTCCAGCCCAGCCGGCCTCACCACACCTCCCAGCACCGGGTCCAGTCTGCGCCTGCACTGGGGTGCTCCCGCTTGCTGCGCCCCAAGGACACGAGTTCCCCGTGACCCCCCGTTGGGATGGAGCTGCCTCCCGCAGGCACAGAGCTCGTGCTCCCCGGCAGGGACCGGGTGCCTGTGCCCGCCACGCTGCCAACCCACGGCGGCGGGAGGCAGGCGCTGCCCCGGCGCCATGGGCACTGCCTGGGCACAAGGTGACGAGCGCCGGTGCGGCTGCGGCGGTGCCAGGCGGCAGCGGGAAGGTGGGAGGGAAACATCGGTCCTGAGCTGCACAACGGGACTGAGCCCACAGGCCTGGAGAGTGTCGTGTGGGGATCCCGGTACCGGGGCTGCAGCCACCCGTGTGCTGCCTGCCACCAGAGCAGCTTGCTCCAAGCCCCTGTGTCCAGCCTGGCCTTGAACACTGCCAGGGATGGGGCAGCCACAGCTTCTCTGGGCACCCTGTGCCAGCGCCTCAGCACCCTCACAGGGAAGAGCTTCTGCCTAAGAGCTCAGCTCAGTCTCCCCTCTGGCAGTGTAAAGGTGCTAACCAGAACGGCCTACCCAGACCTTGCCTTGGAGGACACCACCACCACCTCTTGCATGGCTCAGGACACCAGTGTTTGACCCAGAGGAGGCAAATAAGGCACCAGAGCATTAAAATACATTGTGTAGCAAACAGCGTAGTTTCACTGCCAGCCTTGCTGGCCGGGAGAGGTTAAGTCAGCCTGTCAATAAACCCCACACTTCAGAGGCAGCTTCTGCAGCTCTGGCCTCCAGCCTGCACGTTGGCTGGAGCTGGCACAGCGGATACTTGCCGCTCAGCTGTGTTTGGTGCAGGTGATGCTGCAGGTACCCACATCACTGACCTGCACTGGGGGGTGCAGGATGCAGTGCTGCAGTGAGTGACCAGCACCGTGAGCAGTCAGGAAGGGCAAGCAGCAGCTCTGTAGCACCGTGATGTGTCTGACAGCCACAGCTCCGTGTGCAGCCTCCTGCTGCAAGGAGGGATCTGTTCCCTCTCACCGGTTTGTCTTCTGCCAGGACACATTATAATTTCCTGGTGAGTCACAGGCATTGCACAGACACCTTTCCTGAAGCTGGTAAGAGTCTGAAGTTACAGAAGTTACCCCCATTTACTGCACTGGGAAGAGGGAGCTGTTGGAGCGAGTGCAGAGGAGGCCATGGAGATGCTGTGAGGGCTGGAGAGAGAAGGCTCCTTAAGGGAGACCTTAGAGCAGCTTCAGTGCCTAAAGGGGCTGCAGGAAAGCTGGAGAGGGGCTTGGGACAAGGGCCTGTAGGGACAGGCCAAGGGGAATGGTTTTAACCTGCCCGAGGGGAGATTGAGATGAGCTCTTAGGCAGAAGCTCTTCCCTGTGAGGGTGCTGAGGTTCCTGACAGTGCCTCCCCCTGCAAACACCCTCATGGGGGGACTCCCTTTGACTTCTGCTATGGGGAAGCAAAGCTTCTCGTCCCATAGAGCCATGAGGCCGCTCTACAGCTGGAGCTGAGCTTGCTCCTCAGATGCTGACTCAGCTAAATGTGGGTGTTTGACCCGGTGCGCCCCAGCCCCCCCAGCAGCCCCTCCCCAGCCCCTCCGCAGGGTTTCCAAGAGCTGGGTCCAGCCTCGTGTTTCTCCAGAGCCGGCTTTCCCTGCCATCTGCCCCGTCTCCAGCTGGAGCCTCCGGGGAGGGCTGCTCCCGATGGAGCCGTGTCAAAGATCGCGTTGGCTCAGCTGTTGCACCTAAGAGCCTCCATCCTCCCGTGCTTAGAGCCAACGCGCTTGCCCAACCCGGGCTGGCGCGGTCCCACCGGCCCCAGACGCTGCAGCGGGACCTCGGGTGCTCCCTCAGGCAGCTTTGGGCTTTGAGGGTTTGCTTGTGGTGGCGTTTTCCTTCTCCTCACCCACAGCAGCAGCTGCTTCCCAAGGCGATGTGTGCTGAGCACGGTGCTGGGCACCCTGGGCACAGTGCTGTGCGTGCTGGACACGGTGCTGTGTGCTAGACATGGTGCTGTGTGCTGGGCACAGTGCTGTGTGTGCTGGACACGGTGCTGTGTGCTGGACACGGTGCTGTGCGCAGGACACGGTGCTGTGTGTGCTGGACACGGTGCTGTGCGCAGGACACGGTGCTGTGCATGCTGGACACGGTGCTGTGTGCTAGACATGGTGCTGTGTGCTGGGCACAGTGCTGTGTGTGCTGGACACGGTGCTGTGCGTGCTGGACACGGTGCTGTGTGCTAGACATGGTGCTGTGTGCTGGGCACAGTGCTGTGCATGCTGGACACGGTGCTGTGTGCTAGACATGGTGCTGTGTGCTGGGCACAGTGCTGTGTGTGCTGGGCACGGTGCTGTGTGCTGGACATGGTGCTGTGTGTGCTGGACACGGTGCTGTGCGCAGGACACGGTGCTGTGTGTGCTGGACACGGTGCTGTGTGCTGGGCATGGTGCTGTGTGCTGGACACGGTGCTGTGCGCAGGACACGGTGCTGTGCGCAGGACACGGTGCTGTGCATGCTGGACACGGTGCTGTGTGTGCTGGACACGGTGCTGTGCGTGCTGGACACGGTGCTGTACGCTGGACATGGTGCTGTGTGTGCTGGGGACGGTGCTGTGTGCTGGACAGGGTGCTGTGTGTGCTGGACATGGTGCTGTGTGCTAGACATGGTGCTGTGTGCTGGGCACAGTGCTGTGCATGCTGGACACGGTGCTGTGTGCTAGACATGGTGCTGTGTGCTGGGCACAGTGCTGTGTGTGCTGGACACGGTGCTGTGTGCTGGACACGGTGCTGTGCGCAGGACACGGTGCTGTGTGTGCTGGACACGGTGCTGTGTGCTGGGCATGGTGCTGTGTGCTGGACACGGTGCTGTGCGCAGGACACGGTGCTGTGCGCAGGACACGGTGCTGTACGCTGGACATGGTGCTGTGTGTGCTGGGGACAGTGCTGTGTGCTGGACAGGGTGCTGTGTGTGCTGGACATGGTGCTGTGCGTGCTGGGCATGGTGCTGTGTGCTGGACATGGTGCTGTGTGTGCTGGACATGGTGCTGTGTGTGCTGGGCAGGGTGCTGTGTGTGCTGGACATGGTGCTGTGCGTGCTGGGCATGGTGCTGTGTGCTGGGCACGGTGCTGTGTGTGCTGGACACGGTGCTGTGTGTGCTGGACATGGTGCTGTGTGTGCTGGACACGGTGCTGTGTGTGCTGGGCACGGTGCTGTGTGCTGGACACGGTGCTGTGCGTGCTGGACACGGTGCTGTGTGTGCTGGACACGGTGCTGTGTGTGCTGGACACGGTGCTGTGTGTGCTGGGCACGGTGCTGTGTGCTGGGCACGGTGCTGTGTGTGCTGGGGACAGTGCTGTGTGTGCTGGACAGGGTGCTGTGTGTGCTGGACATGGTGCTGTGCGTGCTGGGCATGGTGCTGTGTGCTGGGCATGGTGCTGTGTGTGCTGGGGACGGTGCTGTGTGCTGGACATGGTGCTGTGTGTGCTGGACATGGTGCTGTGTGTGCTGGACATGGTGCTGTGTGTGCTGGACACGGTGCTGTGTGTGCTGGACATGGTGCTGTGTGTGCTGGACACGGTGCTGTGTGTGCTGGGGACGGTGCTGTGTGCTGGACACGGTGCTGTGTGTGCTGGGCACGGTGCTGTGCGTGCTGGACACGGTGCTGTGTGTGCTGGGCACGGTGCTGTGCGTGCTGGGCACGGTGCTGTGTGCTGGGCACGGTGCTGTGTGCTGGACACGGTGCTGTGTGCTGGGCACGGTGCTGTGTGTGCTGGGCACGGTGCTGTGTGCTGGACACGGTGCTGTGTGCTGGGCACGGTGCTGTGTGTGCTGGGCACGGTGCTGTGTGCTGGACACGGTGCTGTGTGCTGGACACGGTGCTGTGTGTGCTGGGCACGGTGCTGTGTGCTAGGCACGGTGCTGTGTGCTGGACACGGTGCTGTGTGCTGGACACGGTGCTGTGTGTGCTGGGCACGGTGCTGTGTGCTGGACACGGTGCTGTGTGTGCTGGGCACGGTGCTGTGTGCTGGGCACGGTGCTGTGTGCTGGACACGGTGCTGTGTGTGCTGGGCACGGTGCTGTGTGCTGGACATGGTGCTGTGTGCTGGACACGGTGCTGTGTGTGCTGGACACGGTGCTGTGTGTGCTGGACACGGTGCTGTGTGCTGGATGTGGTGCTGTGTGTGCTGGTGAGTGCAGCTGAGCCGTGCAGGGCTGCAGGATCAGTGCAGGAGCCACCTGGAAAACAGCACTGGATGGGGAACCTCTTCATCCGCAGCATGTAGGGAGCGCTAAAGGGAATACAGAGCGTAACCCTCAACAGGGGAGGTTCAGGTTAGACTTCAGGCAGAAGCTCTTCCCTGGGAGGGTGCTGAGGCGCTGGCACAGGGTGCCCAGAGAAGCTGTGGCTGCCCCATCCCTGGCAGTGTTCAAGGCCAGGTTGGACACAGGGGCTTGGAGCAA